TTCCGGATTGTGTGTCAGTTTTCGGTCATCGATCATTAATTGTATCGTCAATTTTTCGAAAATAGAAATTTCTTTAAATTGACTAATGGATAAAACATTTAAAATCAGTGTAAAATCGGTCTAATTTAAATAAAAGGTGTCTAGCGTGACATGTGTTTCGGGCATATGTGTCATCAGTGACATGTGATACGAGATGTCGCTCTCCGAAACTTTCTGGTTTCTTTTGCAATTTGTTTGGGGTAAGACGTTATCACTCCCCGCCCATGTGTAAATAATAATATTAATCTAATATATAAACCGCACAAATTTAACAGATACAAATAATGTACATGTTATTCCACAGGTAGACAGACATTGAAGAGGCTCAATGAAGGATACGCAGTTGGTTGAGAGTTTGTCCGACTCTTTTGGGTATTTGCGCCCCATTTCCAATGAAATAATCATGTTGTTCTGATGCTCAACTAGTATCAAGTATATATCGTGTCTGAGATTTGTTACAAATCGCCTCGAGCATGTTCCACACATATCAATATCTATCAACTTTTTGTTCAGTCTATAAAAGCCTACATTCCTACAAAATGTTTTGTTTAGTCAAGTCAAACAAGAAAATGCATAGGCTAAATGGAACAATAGAACAAGCACACCTTAATGTCGACAAACTATGAAATATGATACTTCTATGATATGATTCAACCGAAAGGTCGTATATGCAACACGGTGACCGCTGTTACAACAGTAAACAGTAGAACTCGCAATGCCTATTTTTTGAACAAACCAAGACAGTTCAAATGACGACTTGACATTAATCTAGTTGTATTTAATAAATCAGCATTGGGGCTGGTGTTCCTAAATAGATGACACTTATTAATTACTTGCACATCCAACTTATTTATAAAACATCTAGCACAGAAGTTGTTCTTCACTCTGTGTTACCTAAGCAAAAAATCTAATTGCAGAGGCATGCTGGCCAGGTAGTCAACCGCCTACCCTACCCTGCCCTCATAAATGCAAAAACAAAAGAAACTCGAAAGGGTTGATAACGCTCGAATCCGATGAGATTTCCTAACAAGGTATATGGGAGGGAGCGGGGGTGGCTATGTGCCCTCTCTTCCGAAAATGTGCAATCAAATATTGTGCCCCCTTTTTCTGCTGCCCTTCCCTTGTTCCAACTAACTCCAGAGATACTACAATGTCCGTTTTTCATTGATGATATAAGGGCCCCATACAAGCTCAATCAGACCATGATTTCCACGGATGATTTCCAGAATAGATTTTACAGACGGATTAATATTTCCATAATATTCAGAATCAACTAATTTGTCTTAGTTTTATTTATATATCTAAATGAATTTAGGAAAATTGCAACACGGACGACGGGAACCATTATTGCCGGTTAGCATACTCAGGGCCAATACGCAAACCGTCACAACGAATGACATTTAAACTGTCACCAGTAAGTTAATTGGCCTTGCTTAAAGTGTATTTTGATCGTCGTCTCGTTCTTTGAGTTGTCAGTCTACATTCAATTCTTACTCCCTACCCCTACTCTCATTAGGGAACAGAATCGAATGAAACTTGGCGGGTACCCTTTGTTTTTCTTTATCACAGGTCGTTTAGTTCTTGATTGCAGCTAACTATGTTCATGTTCGGATCTTTGTGACTTAATCATAATTCCTTAACCAAGTGTCAATGTATGGTATGGCATGGCATATACGTCAAATCGCTTCTACCATGTGCCACATAACTCAAGTTTTCTCCGATCCTAAAGTGCCCTAACTTTGGTCTGCCTACCCTCGGAGGCCCTAGCACGCCCTTGGCTTATTGTTGAACTTAGTCATGACTTTACACCAAGTTATATTCTGTCCTAAATTCTCTGCCATTGAAATTGGTATCTCCGCCCAATACCCGTTATCTTTCCGTCATTTTGGGAATGACGATGGGCAATTCATTGCATATCTGACAAACAGGCGATATTGTATCCATCTGTGTCTCAATATTTGAATCATTTTCTGAAATAAATTCGCCACGTGCTTCAATAGGTTCGGCCAATCTTGGCTCAATTTTCGAGGTTGGTGATCGAAATCGGACACGCCCACCACACTGCTTCCACAGTGGGCTGATGGGACCCCTTGCGTCATGCCTGCTACGCTGCTTCCGTAGTGAGCAGTGGTCGACCAGAGCGTCTAAATGAAATTTAGTTGACGCTTGATGAATGCCATCGTATTAGATCTGAGGTGGACTCGACCACTCGTAATCCCCAATGGAATTTCCCATTATTTTGACCCAGGGGAACCAGTTAATTACCAAGATGAAAAAAATGTGTCGAAAATGAGATCAGCTGCCTCCAAAACATATATTTTGACACCAAATGTGGAAATTTTGTCAAATTCGAGTTTTCCCGCCAAAACTGGCCGCCATCTGGAATTATTTCTAACTAATTATAACTAATCACCAAAATGTGTATGGGAATGGATCCAGTTACCTCGAAAGGATATATTTTGATACCAAACTCAATCATATTATGGTAAGTGGATAAAAACTGGCATTTTCCAGTCAAAACCGGCGGCCATTTTGGATATTTGCCAATTTGACCCATTTGGGCACGGATTTCGGACTGGGACTTTTTTTTGGTGATAATATACGTCTAGACCGACCATAAAACGTGGTCGATATTTCTATTGCAGCAACTGCCCGAAATGGTGCGAAATTGAGTTAAAATGCCTGGACTACAAGTCTATTGCATCTAGATGTTTAAAGCGCGTTAACAATATATTCATTTAAGAGCATCTATGTCATTTCGGGATTAATATACCACATATACCCAACGGAAAGAAATGACGATTTTAATATTAAAATTAAACCATTTTGGATTTCATTTTGCCGGCCTTTTTGAATTTCTACCATCAAGATTTCTCGAAATTAAATTTTTGAGATTATCGCTGCCCTTTTATTACCAAATTAATGTTTGTTTTTTCATTTTTATTTATTTTTTTTTTTAAATGGTATTCTATTACCAAATTTGGCAGTCATATTGAAAGAAATGCCCGCCACCAAATGACAAATACATTTTTTTAATTGATGTTTGTCGAATTCAATTTTTCCACACATTTCGCTTGCATAACCAATCTGTGTTTGAGGAATTTAAAAATAAATTATTTATCCTACCACCACTGAAAGACACTGATTACGAGATAACGCTCTCCGATAATTCCTGAAGAACGCCAAATTGAGTTCTGTTAATCATGTCATTCTTGGTCGATTTTCAGTATTAGGCTGTGATTTAGCCCCGAAAATCGTTTCATCTCGTCCCAGCAAATTCCGGGTGAAAATTTGACGCTTTGTTACATAATTTAACAAGTAGGCCGTCACTGTCGCATACATTGCACAATACGTCTTGCACTCGAATTACGTCTCGAACTATATTTGTCAAGTGTAGCCATAATCGGGTGAAAAAATCAAATTCTAAGCCAATCAGAAACCATAAAAGCAAAGATCGTCATAGGTCAAGGGTCAATAGCCATAAATAGACCAGTGAATACCTTTTATGAGACGGAACACGTTGGATTGTTTACATTTATCTGAGAGAATTTCTCTGCAAATATGCCGGGATTACTGGATAATACCACCTGTTAAATGTTGCATTGACACGGTAAAGACGACTTACCCCTAATCTGTGGCATAAATATGGCCAATAATTGGGAAATAGCACCAATGATTGAATGAATCTTTTATTTTCTGGAAACAAGTATTTCTTCAAAACTATTTCAGTGAAACAATATCCAAGAGAAATATATACTTAATACAGATAAAAACGATTTTGGCATGCTTGAAATACTGGTTCGGTCTTATAATTATATATAATGTTAAGAAAAAACAAAAATAATAATACCATGTGATCTGATCGATACAATTAATAATAATTCACCTTCATTAATTTTACTAGTTTTATAAAAAAGAAAACAATAGACTTATTATAAGAGTATAGAGAGAGAGAAATGGGGTTTAACTTCCACTCGACACAAACTAGGTAATTTTGGTTCAATTTTATTCCAATAATTCGCTTGCGTGTAGTGGTCTTTAGCAGTGGGAGGAAACCGGAGGACCCAGAGAAACCCCATGAGGTTGGACAGGCAACCCTTCTCCTTGTCAAGTACACCCGTGGAATCTAAACCACGCCAGTGGACTCAATGACAGACCTTATGATACAGCGCGCATATGCTACCCATTCGGCTACCCAACCCTCTATCGGAGAGTATAAGATTACATTTATTTAAAGAAAGAAATTAAAAAAAAATAAACAAATGCAATTATATAAATTTCCTCATACACAACAATACCATACACCACTAGTATTAATGAAAAATGTATATAATAATAATAATATCATCATTTTTTAAAGTGTATTAATACTGGAGAACGGTTTCTAATGTGCTGTTCAGGTTCTTATATTCACAGAATACATGTATTTACACAGAGATCAGGTCTTGTGCCCATATACACTGTACAAAATTGAAAGATATATACCAACCAGTAAATAAAAGTACATATAAGAGAAAAACAAACAGTAATTACCTAAGTAAAATCGTTCTAGTAAAATGAATTAGAAATGAAATGGTCTAATGAAGATGGGCATATACGCCATACAGTGTGCTATAAGGCAAATTTTGCCTGGGTACAGCACTATGGCCTACGTTTATATCAAATTACAACTGCCAAGGGATCTTTTTACGTGCACACCAATGTATACACGGGACCTCGACTAGACTGCTGTCCTCGTGCCTTGTCAGCCCCTCCGCCTGCACCACAGACAAGGGAAAACCGTTGGAAATGAATTAGAATAAAAAAAAGTAAAATAAAAACATATAGTAAGCATAAAGTGACAAAATATAATATGAAAATTTATTGACATGTACAGTACATTTAAGTAAAACATATTTAAAATATGTAATGTTTAAAAACCGCTTACAAAAATACATGTATACAGGTGTAGGCCTACTCACATAATTTCATCAATATCATCATCACTATTAAAATCAATGTCACTGTCAGCATATGTTTGGCTGTCTCTTTTATATTCGAACAATATACACAAAACCATACAAGAAAGTTTTCACTTGTAAGAAGTACATCTATTACTGATCTATCTGTAAAAGTGTAATGCAGCTTGATTTACATTCACATTGAAAATTTAGTTTGGTGCTTGATCTCTAGTCACCCTAACCCTGTCATTTGTTCAATGGAGTTTAACAAGAGGGGTTTAAATTTCCACAGCTACAATCAGGCAACCAGGGAGGAATGCGCCAGAATATGCCCCCTTTTTAACTGGTGATGCAAGGGCAGAAATAATTCTTCATACATATTTTTTTCAAAAAAAGTAAGTGCACTTGTACCAACTCATCTATTTCGGTTCTAATTTTCTCCATAACATGGGGGTTGGATGGCCGAATTGTTAGCACGTGCGCACTGTATCATAAAGCCTGTCATTGAGTCAACAGGCGTGGTTTCGAATCTCCTGTTGTACGTGACAAGGAGTAGGGTCGTCTGTCCAACCTCGTGGGTTTTCTCTGGGTCCTCCCGTTTTCTCCCACTGTTAAAGACCCCTTCGCGCAAGCGAATTATTGAAATAAAAAGAAATAAACCATATGTTAGTCCCAAAATGACCTAGTTTGTGTCGAGTGGACGTTAAACCCCATTTTTCTCTCTCCATAACAACTTGGGTATGACTATGAGTACTGCACATTGTATTTCACCTCAATAATGGTGACACAGTCTTAACCATAGTGTCTTTCTGTCTTTGGTCTAAGTGGTCTTGGGCGGAGTAGTCCTTGGTCTGGGTTGTCGTGCATTTAGGAGAATATCTTCATCAGCTTGCATTTGCAAGAAAATGGGGAAAATGTCAAGATATGATCCGATCCCCTTAAACAAATTAACCAGACCTATTATTTTATTATCTTTCTCTTTTTTTTTTGCTGCTTGTTTCTAAACATCACTTTCTTCAACAATTTAGGAATCGTGATAATGTTTCATACACAGTTTTGTTAACGTTGGTAACGTGGAATGTGAGAAGTAGTAAGTAGCCTCTACCATACCCCAGTGAGAGTTTTGTCTTCACATTCCTGCCTGGAGTTCTGATTCAGCTTTGTCCAGCAAATCGGCATTTGTCTCCAGCACATTTCCATCTAATCTGATCCACTGGATAGCACATACCTTAAATTTTTCCCAGCTTGTCGCAGTGAACGGTTTTAGCTCAGTGTTTTAACAAAATGTACACGAAGTATGCAGTTTTACTTTAGCTATCCTTCCGCCATGTACCGTTATAACAAAACGTAAACAAATCGCAGGTGACCTTTCACCACATGACCTGTTGAACTTTTCGTCGTGTATGTTTGATTGGCCAATTATGTCACGTGATCTGTTTAAACCGAGTCACCGCGAAATTCAAATACCATTGCACATTGACAAGTAAGCCCATATTTAATTTACGTTTTCTATCAAACGTCAAAGAATTGATAAAAGAAAAGTTGTGTAACAATACAAAGTAATACTAGAAGAATTAGATGATGTAGTTTTTTTTTTTCACCCGAAAGTGGTCGGGACGGAGAAACAGAAGCAAGCTAGCTAGAAATTTCACACCACGGCCTATATGATTCCGTCTGACATATTTATCATTGAAACAAACTGCACCGGTTTGAAACTGCAAATCTTCGAACAAATCCACGCCCTAATGGACACAGTTGGACTAAGTAGAATAGTGAAGTAAGAGGGGGTCACGGCTAGACGGGCCCGGCATATAAACACTAAACTACATAGGTGATTTATACCACACTGGCAGGATAGTGGAGTAAGGGGGAGTCACGACCAGACGGACTCGGCATCTAAACACTATTCCGCCAAAAACAGACACCAAACCTACAGAGTGGGATAGTGGAGTAAGGGGAGGTCACGATAAGACGGGCCTGGCACCTAAACACAAACCCCTCAAAGATGACATCTACCAAACTAGCAGGATAGTGGAGTAAGGGGGAGTTACGATCAGACGAACTCGGCACCTAAACACTATTCTGCAAATAAAACTGATACCAAGCCCAAAGAGTGGGATAGTGGAGTAAGGGAAGGCCACGACAAGACGGGCCTGGCACCTAAACACTAACCCCAAACGATGACATCTACCAATCCAGAAGCAGACGAAATCATCTGCCAAACGATACGTTTTATATTAAATAAAGGGAAGAACTTCCCACTAAACCAAATCCATGGCCTAATGCCAAATGGAAAGATTGCAAAATCATATTCTAAAAAACAGGAATCAGCTTCGGCTCTCCTATGTCTTGTCTGCGATATCACTTATGTGGAAGCAGACGTTAAACACCAAGAACTACTACTACTGCACCGGTTTCTTTTGCAATTTGTTTAGATGGCGTCATAGTTGGGACCCAAAATGGCGCCTGTAAATGAGTTGTCGCAACTTTCCCTATAAAGGGCTTTGGTTTTTTGGTTTTAATGACGTAAATACCAAGGAAAACAATTTTGACGTAATGAAAATATCCGTGACGTAATGAGATAAACACTCCTTTCCATTCTATTTGGTTCACTAAGCGAGTAGCGTACGCATGTGGTTGCTATGCTTGTTTACGTTGTCATTTCGACGCTGAGAATGTATGAAAATTACTGTCTGATTCATCGTAAATTTTAAACGGATTTCTTCGATTATGAACAAACTACTTAACTTTGGTTATTATAAACTTACCTGTGTGTTTGTAATGAACTCCCGTTCGATAAAATCCATTGCACAACTAATTATCACAACGATGAGAACAATTTCTCTCTTGAAAAATTTGAAAATTTACTTGTAATTTCGACAGAGTCGATGTCAACAATGTCTTCGTGACGTATTGGTCGAATCCAATATACCTGTTGCGGGGGTTGGTTAACATTGAAAGATAGTTTGACAGCGCGATCATTTTGATCGTATATAGGTTTGGGCGACGAAAAATATCAATTGAAGGCAATTACATAGGAGATTTATATGGAAACCATTGATCGCCAGTCTATCAAATTTTCTTCACAATTAAAATATCACTGATTGCACGGATACTCGTAAAAATAAAGTCATGAATAAACTATAAATATCCTATCTTCTTTATGTTATAAATAATTTAACAAGGATCATGAAGCTTACCTCCGAATTCTCTGAGTGTATTTTTAATTTTATACGCATTCTTTCGATCGAATAATAACCGCTTCAGTAACATCTTTAAGCGTGTTGCGGCAGCCCTCAGCGTGTCTATTGCCGTATTGGGTGCCCGGGTGGGTATATAATGCTACTAAGCCCGTATGACCCCGTAAGAAGCGGAACATTAATTCTCGATTCGACAGTTTTGACCGAAGTGTGATAAAGCCCGTAAAACGAATGTATAGTTGTGTTTGTGCGGCATGCGTGTTCAAAAGTAAATAATCCCATCCGAGTCGCTAATCAAATAATTAGAACAAAATATTTCAAAAAGTAAAGCTATAAAATTTGCAGAGATTTTACTAGAATGTAAAAGACGGTAACTAAATACAGGAATGCGGGTAGTTATGTGTGCGAACGCTCAAACTCAATGCCAATTGTCGTAGGTATCCAGACCACTCGGACCAAAGACTACTCGGACTAAGACCAGTCGGACCAAAACAAGACCAAACGGACCAATTAAATTATATTATAAGGCTAGACAATATGCTATTTATTTATTATTAAATCACAATACAAAGAAGCAAATAATTCTTATACGGAATTCTTATATTTAGAGTTGTTTGGTTCAATTTTGTGTACGTAAATAAATCAACGATTAGTTTTAAAATTAATTAATAATGGTGCCAAAAAAAAATATCAATCTAATTTTTCTTTACTCTTGCAATGAGACTCGGTATGTCCAGACTTTTGACAGTTTCTACATATACGGGTATACTGTTCTTGTCTGATAGCCTAATTTTACTTTTTCCACATTCGCGGTATCCCCAGTGGTTTCATTCCGTTCTACCCCACTAACCCCTGGGTTACTATATATGGGGGTGGGGGGGGGTGGGGTGGAGACACGTTTTCAAGTTATCCGCCCTTGATGCGTTAATATAAACAGCACATAATAATACGAAGACCGGACGTTTATATGCCCCTTTTTAAACGTGACTACAAGTGTGGTTCTCGATATTTTGCGATTTGGAATACAATTATCAATTTATTCAAACAACACGTTATTATTAGTTCGAGTAGTCATATTAAAACACACACAATTATCAATTTATTCAAATAACACTTTATTATTGGTTCGAGTAGTCATATTAAAATAAACACAATTATCAATTTATTAAAATAACACTTTATTATTGGTTCGAGTAATTATATTAAAACAAACGCAAATATCAATTTATTAAAACAACATTTTATTATTGGTCCGAGTCGTCTTTCTGTTGGGTCCGAATAGTCTTTTTGTATGGTCCGAGTAGTCTATTTGTTTGGGCTGAGTGGTCTATCACTTGGTCCGACTGGTCTTGAACCGAGTGATCTTTGGTCCGAGTGGTCATGGATTCTTGTCGTAATTGTACTTGAATTTCCTATGCTGTCACCCCTAATACGAAATGATATCTTCCGCAGAGTGACGTAACCATCTTCTATATTGGTATTTTTCTCTGGGAAAAGTTTGTGATATTTCAATTTTTCAAGAGAGAACTTGTTTTCATCGTTGTGATAATTAGTTGTGCAATGGATTTTATCGAACGGGAGTTCATTACAAACACACAGGTAAGTTTATAATAACCAACGTTAAGTAGTTTGTTCATAATCGAAGAAATCCGTTTAAAATTTACGATGAATCAGACAGTAGTCGCTGTCCTATTCATATCAGTATCGGCCCGACTTGTATATTTTTAAAAATATATTACGATCCATACGGAGTTCAATAAATTGTAGTATTTTTACTCACTTGTTGAAAATCTTCGATTTTGACCAGTCTGATTATGATAGAATGACCATAGCAACCATTATTGTCAGACCAGCCTTGAAATTAAATTTACTTATTATGTTTCTAATACACTCACTAACTTTGTTTTTTGTGTGTTTCAGGTGTGTGTTTCAATAAGCCAATGGTTGAATTTCATTGTTGATGACATACAAGAAAAAATTCATGAAGATTTCAAAGAATAAAGTTTTGAGGTGTAAAATTTTTAGTCACTGCAAACAGAGTCTAGCACCCAGTAAATATTCATTCGCATTGAGTCGCCCAGGAAATTTAGAGGACTGTTATACTCACTCGACGCCACTCTTCGACCAATCAGAATCCAAGAAACTTCCATTTTGGGCTACAATTTGATTTAAAGCTGTAAAAAGGTGTAAAAATGAGCTATTCACACAACATTTAGATTTTTCATATTTTGAAATATTTCGTAACAACTTTCACGAACCTGTAGCATTAATCCATACGATGACAATTTATGTCAAAATTAGTTTGTAATATTAGCAGTTGCCGAGAAATAGGCAATTTTGCATGAGTCACTTTTCACGTTATTTTGCCTGTAAAAGAGTAAATTATAATCCGATTTTGTTTATTTTTTCACCATATGATGCCTAATGCCATTTTTAACTGGGCGGATCCAATTTTACATTTTCAGTGTCACCGGAAATGGCGTCATATGGGCAAAAACTGTATTTATAGCCTTTAAAACAGATATTTTATTCAAATGACTCTGATTTGTAATGTTTTTAAATTTATGACATTTGATTGCAATCAACAAATAGAATGACCCAATACGATCATACAGATACCACAAAATGGTTCCTAACTTTTACGGTTGCAGTGAAATAGACGATTTTCTGCAAGTCACTTTTCAAGGTTTTTGGTCTATAAAACTGTCAATTATTATTTGATTTTCATAAAATTTTCACCATGTGATTATCACCGGAAGTAATGTCGTTTTGGCAAAAACTGTATTTTTAGCCTTCAAAACAAATATTTTTTGAAGTGAGTTATGTTTATTATTCGTTTAACATTATGATATTTGATTCCAATGGAGATATATATTGGATCAATACGATCATATAGATGTCCAAAAATTGCTTCTACCATCTTTCTTTGTCAAGAAATAACCAATTTTGTCAGGATCGATCACTTTTTAATACTTTTTTGACATTTTAAGTTCCCATTAGATAGTCAGCTAACTTAGTGGTAAGTTAGTAATAAATTTTGTCAGGATCACATTTTTGATATATCTAACGCATAGTAACAAATGTATAAATGGAATTGAAATTGCTGGATTTGGTTGATTCTGCTTACGTGGAAATCTGTTTAACGGTTTCATTGGTACCGAATGTGACATAAGTTCAAGGGTAACGAGGCACCGGAAGTGACATAAGTTCAAGGGTAACGTGGCACCAGTGAAACCCGTCATTACTGCGTCGCAGTTCTAGTTCTTCTTCTTATTATTTTTTTTTTCCACTTGAGCATATCTCAGAAACTATTTGTCGGATCGACTCGATGTCTTCGATTTTACAGGAAAATTGGGTGTGACTTAGAGATTAAAGCTATTTCGAACTTTCTGTGACAATGCGAAATGTCCGAAATCACCGATGTTGTCGTTTTGTGAAATATTGCCGTAATATTAACAATAATTGTCGGATTTTAACATTTGATACATTTTGACATAGCCTGAGACACGGCAAATAGCTACGATTGTTTAGATTTTCGATTAATCTTCGAAGATATTAGTCGCCAAATTTTGACAAAAAAATTTTTTATTTATGAATATTTTTTTATGGCGATTTACCTATAATTAAAG